GGTGAACCTAAGGAAGGGACATACGCTCTTGGAAGGAAGCTGGCACAACATGTAATGGGTGAAGCACCTGTTTCTCTTGGCAACATGGACGATTTATCATGTGGTGACTCTGAGACGAGACTTTTGCCCCAGACGTTTCTCCCAGATCCCAAATATACAGTGGCACAGTACCTGACTCTTCAAGATGCCCGTGTGCTGGACTTCATACGCTTCCAGTGTGGAGAGAGCAGCAGTCAGGAGTGAAAGGAGCCATTTGAGGATATAAACAATCCTAAATGAGATATTAAAAGTATGAATTAATTACATTTTCTTTAAACAGTATATGTATGTATACAGTGCCTATAGAAAATCATCATACCCTGTGAAAATGTATACCTGTACTCACATTTCACTCTGCTTTTAAAAGATATTCTGTTCAAAATTGTGGAAAGGCACAGGTTAGAAGGCTACAAAAACATTTCAAAGGGTGGAAAAGTTATTTGTACTGTGATTTGATTTCTGGATGTGTGACAAATAAAGTCATTATTTTAAATGGGTATGATGATTTTCTATAGGCGCTTTGTTTATATATACATACACATACATACACACACACACACACACACACACAATATATATACACAATATATATATATATATATATTTATATATATATATATATATATACTTTTTTTTCCAAGCCATATCCTTGATATTGCTGCTGTTTTATGTCCCCAAACAAAAAAATTCTAGTTTATTCATGAAGTGAATTAAATAGATAAAATGAGGTCTAATAGACATTGTAGTATTGACATGTTACTGTTAAAAAAGGTATCTCAGCCTAGATGGGTCAATCTAAACTCCTGTGCTGTTTCTGTGCCACTACAAACAATAAACATTTTATCTTAATTACTAATACTAACTATTGGATTTTGTTTTTACAAAAAAAAAAAAAAAAAAAAAAAAATATATATATATATATATATATATATACATATACATATATATATATATATATATATATATATATATATATATATATATATATATATATATATATATATTAAATGTATGTTTTATATTATATAAAAATATATATATATATGTAGTCAGATCAGTTAGTTAAGTATTTACCTGGACGTTTTGTGTAGTTTAACTAAACAAATCAAGTGCTTCGATTCTCCTAACATGAAGTACATTATTCAACTTGACTGAGTCTTTAGTGCCATCTAATGGAGGAGAGGATGAATGTTCATATTTCAATATTTTCCAACAAGAGTGTTTGAGAATCTGATAAAAGTCAAAAAATGTTTTAAAGACACACACTGGAATCAGTACAAAATTACAATACAGAGAACAGGCATTTTTATTATCCATATTTTTTAAGCAACTTGCCAATGCTAATGCAGCTTATATTTTATTTATTTATTTTTTTATGTATACCAGCATCTAGGAATGGCATTTTTTTTACTTGAATCAAAGATAATTCTATACATATATTTGTTTTTTCTTTCCAAGGAATCCATTGACAGCATACCTGGGTAAAGTACCTCAAAGCTGAAATCAATTTAAATATTTAAGACATTTTCTAAAGTGCTATGTATCCCTTTCCAAAAACTTCTAATATTAGGACATCCCCAAAATATGTTAAAATAGTTAGCGTCTTGTGAACCACAATGCCGCCAACAATTTGAGTTCCCATAAAATGACATTTTCTGTTTTGGAGTAAGAAAAATACAAGTAATATTTCTCCAGCAAAATTCTCTCCAATACGAAGAACGGGAAGTAGCCCATTGTACTAAATATATATTTAGCTAAACCTCATTTGAGATGATAATGCCACTTTCTTTTTCCCATCTTTCTTTAATGTTCAGAGATGAATCCCCTTGTAGGTCCATCAGTGATTTATATAATTTGGTTATAGTTTTTGACATTGGTTCAACCATATAGCAGCTTTTATTTTAAAGTGTAAACTGGAACTGTATACTTGCTACAAAACAGAAGTGGTATCAACTTTGCTACACCCTATAGTAAAGTATTTTTTTTTCAAGTGTATCTGTGTTTGGATGTTACCATTTTAATACAAACAAGCGCACAGCAACTAACATCTTGAGATTTTAAACCGTATATAATAAATTATGAAAACATTAGTTTTAATTATAGAAAAAAAAACACTGCTGCAGGTAATAAACTGTAGATAGATAGTAATAAGTAGATTATCCTTTTATTATACAAGAAAAGTTACTATACTAACATTTGTCTAAAAGTTATAACTTTTAAACGTTATGAGCAAAAATACAAATAAAATGCTGTAAACATGTCCACAAATTTCTTTCTAGTATACACGGCTTTACGGTATAAGATGTATGGCAATCTATTTTAACATTTAATAAATAATATGTACTAGAATCACTTTTCATACTACTACTTTTTATTTTCTAATTTCAGCTACTAGTGTGTAAATATTGAATAAATAATAATATATAAAATATATCTTGATTAAGTAGCCTACAACTGTATAATAATAGGCCCTATATCTAAAAATATGCACTACTTATGAATAACTAGCCTACTATTGATGTTTCAATGACTGAACCCCGAAGAAGTCAATGTCTAGTTACTGTTAAAATAAGTATATATATATATATATATATATATATACTAGTTTCTATATTCCGTATAGTAAGCTCATTTTTAACAGTTGTGGAAAACATGTATGGAAGTTTTAGGGATAATCATGGTCACTGAAAACATTTTGTTAATATATTTTTTTATAACAGTGGATGCATTATTGAGATCAAGAACACATCCAGGTTCTTCCATGCATCCTCTGTTTTTGCAGTCTTGAGTATTGAAATTGAAAATAAGATTACTTAAAGTCTGCTTGAACTGGAAGCTGTGACTTTTTTTTCATATTGTGACGCAGTACCTAGAGAAATTGAATGTTAAATGAGTAATAAACTGTGGGGGTGTCTTGTTTTTTCAACTTCTGTTTTTTATTGTCAAACCTGTCAGTTGAAGGGGCGTGGTTAAGTATGTTAACCACACCCAATGCAAACAAATCGATTTATTTGTTCTGAAACAGGGATTAAAATTGTTACAGTGTTGCTCTTTGTTCTTGGTGCGGTTCGTTTTTACACGGTAAAGTTTTTAAACGGACCAAAATAGCTAAAACAAGTCACATGCGAGTAAACTCTCCTCACATTAATCAGAGTTTTAGTGTTTATTTTGCAGAGTCCCGCTCCGCTGTCTTGAGTCCTTATGTTAATTTATGAGCAATAAGACATTATAGGCTTAGCGAAAATCTGTGCTTTAATTTTGAATGGAGACGCCCTAAATATACAGCAGAGGTAAGACTTTCTCAGACATGGCAGTTGGCTTATGCATTGTAGGCTTTACATTATAGAGAGTAATAACAGATAAACAAAAACTGCTGTTCAGTCAATTTTCCTAACTGATAAACAGCAATGGGTAATATTTCAGCATGCTTTAACTTGTATTTTGCATGAAACACACAATTACCGGTAGTAATGACATCCCGCCCTACTTATCATTCTCTCTTCATATAGCCGTATATATGCCCATTACATATCCATAATACACTGTGATATAGCCTGGCTCGGATCGAATTGCTTTCTCACTACAATCGACCCACTCCAGAGTTCATTTCAATCAAGCCGAGACCACCTCATTCAGGCGATCTCAGAGCGATTGTTTTGGTGAGGATCCGAGCACGATTGCTGGATTCACATATGCCAAACGAGCCGCGCTAACTGGGCAAATGAGACAGGTTCCGAAACAAAAGTCTAGGTGTGAAAGCACCCTCAGATTACTAGGGCAGAAACATTTTTTTTTTAATGACATGCACAGATGAATAGCTCACCACAAAACTAGCAATGAGAGGTAACAAAATCAACTTGGTTAGTTTTAATTTCATGTGTACCTTAAGAGTGAATTTTGATGCACAGCTATTGTTTACAACTCTTTTAGTTAAAATTCTGCATTCTTGCGGCTGTACCTCAGGAGCCGAGGAACCCGACCAGATATTTTGTGTCGTGGGAATAAATTTCCAAATAAAACGTGGTAGTGGTCTGTAACTCTGGTGTAATTTGAACGGGGCCGGGCGGTCTAACAATATAGCGCTCCCATGTCTCGACATTATTTTGGAACAGCATTTCCTTTTTCTTATTGAGCAGCGGTACAGCCAGTACTCACGACTGTTACACAGGCTGAATGCATGATCAGTGCTTTCTGCAAGTGCTTTTTTCTCTTTAGCACAGTCTGTGTGCGCATCATCTGCAAAACACTCCTCAGAGTGTTTACCAACATGAGAGAGCTAAGGGAAGATGTGCTGTCTTTTTAGCTTGCATTAGAAAATGGCCAGTTCACTTTTAGGAAACCCACATCAGGCAAGTTTGATGTATATGGGAGTCTTTTTAATGCATCATAGATGCAGATGAAAAAAAATATCTTTTGCAATATTGCCTTTTGATGTGATAATACCTCAAATGTTTACTCTTAAGCAGACTGGAACCTCAGGTTTAAGGCGGCAACATGGACGGCACTTATGTTTCATCAAAAGTCGCAAATGAAACTGACATGTAGCCTACAATCCTTGCACAACCTACAGTTTTATCTGTTATATCTCTATTTTGGTAGTACCCAGTTTAAACGGGAATGGTTGGGTAGGGTAGAAAATTCTAAAAAAAAACAAAACAAAGACTGAATAGACGGCAAGAGGTCAGGTGTGGAATAAAACCTGGCGGGAGCGGGACTAAAAATTTGTACGTGCGTGCAGACCTCTACTTGGAGTCATGGGACATGGGAAAAAGGTGCATATATTAAATGATAGAACGGCTTGCCATATTGCCAATGTTTTCAACTGCCTGTATATTACTGACAGAGCGGTAATGCCAGTAGAGGAAAACCAGCGCCCGCACTATTTGATTGGCCGATTCTGCTTGAATCAGGTTGACATGACGTCATCGCGAATATAGCGGTGTAGCGGAGTGCGCGCGACCATACTGTAATTGACCAGCGCTCGGTCTGACGCGTTTCTGCTCCATCCTCAAACACTGCAGTCATGGTAAGCCCATCATCTCAGCCGCACACATCTCTCATTTTCACTATAGAGCAGGCAGCGTCCATTAGTCATAAAGTCGGCACATTTATCAGTCATGACGTTAATACCTCAATCATCTAATAAAAAGGCGTTCAACCTCCGGCTCGCTAATATATGTCTTACATTTGTGTCTGAAGTGTATTATTATTAATATTATTATTCTGAGAGAGATTCTCAGCATATTTATTGAAAGATCAAACAAATTCTTCTGTTTCTATTCCATTTTTTCCTATGCCCTCCTCATCCTGACATGGGCAGTCTGACTTCACGGAGGACCAGATTTGTGGTGAGTTTCAAATGTTGGCTGTAATATTATAGTGATGTATATTCGTCGAGGTTATAGATATATATTTGCGTTTGTATTGCAGATGAATACAAATAAACGCAGGCCTGCACATCACTTTACACTGGATGACAGATGTGCTTTCAGATTAGCATTCACATGATGTGGTGTACAAACCAGTGGATAATGTGAAGCAGTCAGACCATTTTGACATTAGCATTTTTAATGTACATACTTCTGTTGTTAATGTTGGAGTCAAACAGTTTTACCGATGCGTCGCGTTTGAAGGACCGGAAGCTGCTCTGGAATGTGTAGCTGGAAACGCTAAAAGCATTCATGGGGACAGGAAAATGGATGGGAATCAAGCAGATAATTATGAAGTGATCTATTTAAATTAGTTTTAAAGTTAATTTAATGTAGTTGAAAGATGATGTGATGTTTTTGTTGTGGTCGTATTAGCAGGACAGAGAGCCAGGTTTGTGTTCACAGGGCAGTTCTAGGGCAGTGCGGATTTGATTCATCTCAGTGACTCAAATCTTTTGAATCATTCATTAAATAGATTTACTCACTGACCCGTTTGCAGGTTACATTGTCACACCCATAGACGTGTTAAAAGGGATAATTCATTAATAATTTGTTGGGGGTCTAATTTGATACCGAAGTCCCCCCCAATTGTAAAATTTAAATGTAACCTCACTATAAAAAATATGTATTTATTAACAGAACAACAGTGGTACTGGTATCTCGTAACAACAAGTACAGCAGTCTTTGTTAGACATTCTAACAAATGCATACAAATGCTTCAAAACAAAGACAAAATTAAAGGAGATTATAAAACAAATTTAGAAAGACGTAATCACTGAGTACCCTCAAGAAAATTCCAGAAGGAGCGTATGCGAACCAAATGCGTAACCTTTAAAATGTAAAGTTAAAGGAATGTCTGACAAAAAGGTAGTTTGATAAAGACTTCCTTTTACTGAGGGCTTATTTATGCACAATCACTTATGACCGCATCTGAACACATTTTTGCATGTATAATATTGCCAATTATGTTTTTTTTACCTTCTCTGAGTGTGCAAACAGAACAGCACTTTCTACTTTGCACTTAAAAAACTGTAATAATAAATAAGTAAATATATAAAATACAATTAATAATAAAAACAACATTAAATCAAGCGTATCTTATGGTGCAAAAGTAAATTTACATGATTTTACTTTAACAAGGAATGAATGCAGACTTTTGGAAGGCATATGACACAATAACCATTTTATCTCGATCATTGTTTTTTCATAAACATCATGGAGGCCAAAATCAAAACAAAATGTTTTATTAATTGCACATCCATGGTTACTATTGTAGTGGACATGTATGAAACTTGACTTCAAGTGATTGACACTTTTCTTTGAAATATAGCTGCTTATGTCCATGTCTTGCACAGTAGGCCTGACAGGAACATTTCGACAAGCAGTGTTTTATTTTGGAGGCGATTAAATTATTGGTGGGGACATTTTAATAATCTGTGGATATTCCGTTCATGAAGATTCCATCCAAAATTGAAAATGTTCTTTAACGTTGGACTTTAGAAAAAAATGATTTGAAGGTCTGAGGGTTAGTAAATTAACAGCATATTTACACAGTATCTTTAATTTGATCTGCGATCGGTTTGAAAGTTGATGGTTGCAAGGAATTGAATTATTGATTCAAAATATTTACAGTAACAATTGAAGTTGCGACAGATTTTTTCTACTGTATTGTGACAATCAAATTTAACGTTCCAAATATTATCGTTCCATGCATAATATTTTTAATTAAAAATTGGCATATAGGTGTTGGTGGAGGATGAACAGGAGCCTGGAGAGACTGAATAGACTAACATTTAATTTCACGGCAACTTTAAAATTGTTGCTTGAAAGTCTTATAAAGCTGTATTAACATTTGTCTTCATAAGACTACAATAAATCTGCAGAAAGGCAGTTTAAGGATTATAACCTTTTCTTATAAATAGGAATAAATATGTTTTTATCAGTTTGTCCATTATAAACTACTATATATTAACACTTTAATTGTGTTTTCCAGCATTTTCCAGCAATTTCTAATTGTGTTTCCTTAGACTATGATCAACCGCTCTCTGTTGTTTATTTAGTAGGAATCGCACACAAGACGGAACAATACTCAGTGTGTCATTTGGGACACAAATGGCTGTTGATGTAGTGCTGTGTTCTCTCCTTTGTCCATATATGGTTAATCACAGTGTGTGTGTGTGTGTGTGTGTGTATATGTGTGTGTGAAGTTTGACTCAGGGCGGCCCCGGGAAGAGCTGCATTCCTCTAAGCTGCTCTGCCAAATGCTGTGATAGTGATCTCAAAGCCTCTAGCAAGAACTACAAGCCTAATGATTTTACATCAAACTGTGCTTGTTGCTTTAGAATCAATATTGCTTTCTTTTTTTTCAGTCCACATAACTATCATTTTCTGCATCACATGCCTTTCATTCTCTTTCTCTCCCCATCAGAATTTAAGGAGGCCTTCCTTCTGTTTGACCGAACAGGAGATGGGAAGATCATGTACAATCAGTGTGGGGATGTGATGCGAGCTCTCGGCCAGAACCCTGTCAATGCTGAGGTCCTTAAAGTCCTGGGCAACCCCAGTAATGAAGGTCAGGCTCGTCTTGTGCTTCCCAGCTCTGTGTTATTTGTAAAAAACACTCATTTTTTGACGAATGCACAATGAATTCTGTTTTATTATTCTGGACTTTGTTTTAATGCTTTGCACTTGATTTGGTAACTTTTGTTTTTGTTTTGATGGTCCCCTTTAGACATTTTGTTGGCTATAAGTAAATATTTACATTTACATTTAGTCATTTAGCAGACACTTTTATCCTAAGCGACTTACAAATGAGGACAAGGAAGCAATTTACACAACTATAAGAGCAACAATGAATAAGTGCTGTAGGCAAGTTTCAGGTATGTAAAGTGTAAGATGCAGAACATTAGTAAATTTTTTTTTTCTCTAATACAGTTAGCGGTGGAGCCAGAGAGGCAATTGCAGATTAGAAAGGAAAGTGGAGACTAAATAGTTGAGTTTTTAGACTTTTCTTGAAGACAGCGAGTGACTCTGCCGTTCTGATGCAGTTAGGGAGATCATTCCATCAACTGGGCAGATTGAATGCGAGAGTTCGGGAAAGAGATTTCTTCCCTCTGTGGGATGGAACCACGAGGCGATGTTCATTCACAGAACTCAAGCTTTTTAAGGGCACTTAAATCTGCAGAAGTGAGAGCAGATAAGAAGGAGCAAAGCCAGAAGTCGCTTTGTAAGCAAATATCAGAGTTTTGAATTTGATGTGAGCAGCAACTGGGAGCCAGTGCAAACGGATGAGTAGCGGAGTGAAGTGGTACGGTACGGTTCGGTTTGATACGCTTTTATGGCCGTTTCCACTGTCAAAAGGCGTACCAAACCAAACTGTACCGTACCACTTTTTCGGGACCCTTTCGATGGGTCCCAAACACAAGAAAGGGTACCAAAAGCCAGAGCTAGACGTGCAGCTGAACGCTATTGGTTTACAGAAGAAATACGTCATTCACTTACAACAAGCCAGTATGTAAACAAAGGACCCGCCATGTTTAAAATACACAGCGAGAGATTACAGCGGAATTATATATTCATATATCATCGTCCTGATGAACAGTCACACAGCCATGGAGTAGAGCAGAATCTACCCTGTGCCTATAGCAGTTGTTTTTACGAGTCAGTCTGACGCGCGATCGGTTTCGCTGTCTTCCTTGTGCTCGCCACGCGTCTAACGTTGTATCTGAAATAACAAACTTCTTGTGCTGATAATAATAACGCGTGCTTGATTATTGACGTACTTTGGAAACCCGATCCCGTTAGAAGCTGACAAGTGCGAGAATGACACATTCAGAAAGAAAAGGACAAACACGAGAGTGGAGCGTGGAAAAAAGCTGGGAAAAAAGGAGCACGTTATTTCGTCAGCAAACGTGAACAAACTGCCTTGTTTTAATTATTATCATCACCTTTTGGACTAATATGAACTGAGAATGATGGAATTACTCTCTAACAGAGGCAACAAGACATGTGCTGCTAAAATTACAGACACAGATGAGAGGTTTTCACTGACTGTAGGCTATACTTTGTGTTGTTTTGAACCTAATTAAGAACGAAATGTATGATGTGTGTAGTTTTTCTGTAGTTGGTAACATATCGGAGACTGTAAGGGGCTGTATGTGTTCATATATGTTCATTTATTTATTTATTTTATTTAATTACAGACGTTACAGTAGGCTATTTTGCACTGTCATTGATCTGCAGTTATAATCAACTCCTGTTTATAGAAAAGTTAGTTAACATTTATACAGAAATATTTATGTGTATAAAGCATCTGTTTTGTTAGAAGTGCTTTTAATGTTTTGTGAACGACCTGTGCAGCTTTACTGTAGACATTTCCTCGAGCGAGAATGATGTGACTGAAACTTTCTGTCTTACACCACGCCCACCAAAAGGGTACCCTTTATAGTGGAAACGCTAGCCTGATAAAGGTGACCCGTACTGACCCGAACCGTACTGTACCAGTCAGTGGAAACGAGCCGTTAGGTTCATTAAAGACCACTCGTGCTGCTGCATTCTGAAGCAGCTGAAGATGTTTGATAGAGTTAGCTGGAAGCCCGGCTAGTAGAGAGTTGCAATAGTCCAGTCTATGCAACTATATGTCATCTAGCAGTCAGTATACTCCTAAAAATAAAGATGCATATAAAATAAAGATGGGTTTTCACAGTGATGCTATAGAACAGTGGTTCTCAAACTCGGTCCTGGAGGTCCTGTGTCCTGCAGATGTGTCCAACTTGCCTTAACACACTTGCAAGGATGTTTAGAAAGCCCTGTAAAAGCCTGTAAAAAATAAGTAAATTTTCAGTAAATTAAAGTTTCTTTATTTTAAAGACTGTGGAGTATTAATAGACTGTCTGCTTCATATTTGCCAAAATATATATTTTTTTGATTCTCCACTTTTTATTGAATAACCACTCTACTGAATATAACTTTGCAAGTATGTCTGGTTACCTTGAGCCTAGCGGTCTATCAATGTTGTATTATTGTTTTGAGACATTTATTTTTTAATGTTACTTGTAGTCAGCTGAGGTTTAAAGAGGACCACCAAAATAAAGTATCTAAAAGCTAGTGTAATTAAAATCTTCAGAATGAGATTTTTTTTTATTTTTCAACTTATAAAACAGCATATTAATAATCTAATTATGTATTATTTTTTTCTAAGTCTCATTTTATTCCAGTTAAAATTAAAACACGGAAGAGAAATTGTGATTGATTCTTTTTTGCGGTAATTTGCTATATTATTATTATTTTGGGAAGTTATTATTCATTTTAAACCAAACTTTATACTTTAAAGACACTTCTGTGTTATGATCATAGTATTTCTTTCCCTCTGATAAAATGTTTGTTAAACTAAAAACAATGTTTAAAAGCTCTTCCTTGTTTATTCAATGGCATATTTCCCTCAAAAATGAAAAGTCTGTCTTCATTCACTCACCCTCATGTTGGTCTAAACCCATATGACCCTTTCAATTGCCCTGATCAATAAGCTGTTCTCCTTTCCTTCATTCTGACTGATAAAAGCAATGCTTCTTCTTTAATCAGTCTAAATGTACTCGGGTCCACTTCAGATATTCCCACTGATTTAATCTACCTGTGTCTTTATCTTTTACACTTATAATTAAATTATAAAGAGATCTAGATTAAAACTGGATTAAGTTGAGAATTAAATAAGTGATCGTTGTGTGCGTTTTTACTCCTTAGATATGAACATGAAGATGCTGGACTTTGAGCAGTTTCTGCCAATGCTGCAGGCCATTGCTAAGAACAAGGATCAGGGCTCCTTTGAGGACTTTGTGGAGGGACTGCGGGTCTTTGACAAAGAGGGAAATGGGACGGTGATGGGTGCTGAGTTGCGACATGTCCTCACTACACTAGGTAAAAAGTCACAGCCTGTTTTAAAATACAGTACAATATTTCTTTGATTACCCCCAAAGTTTCTTCCTCTTAGGAAGCATCTAAGATGTTTTTACTTTTTCTCCCTGAGAGCTCTATTCTTTTTAAAGTGTCTGTTGATGTTTGTTTTGAAAATAAAATGAAGTACATGGGAAGGTTTGAGAAGAACCGTGTGTGTAGTTTAAAGATAGGTCAAGTAGGCATGCAATAAATAAGACGTATTGTATTGTATTATTTTGAATTTTGCCTGTATTTAATTTAGCTGAAGGAGTAAAATTATATCGCCATTGTAGTAGGAGTTTATTGTGTTGTTGGAATTATGTTATATATACTCTTGTAAGAATTAATTTTTAAAAAGATTACTATTGACAGAAATAATACTAATAATATCTAAAATCAGTTAGCACTTAAAATGCAAGTAAAGTTTTGTAATATACAGTAATAGGTTACATATATATTAATATATTTACCATGAGTTTGTATATTGCCATTGAAATGTAAACGTAAATCAAATTATACTTAAAGGTGCCATATAATGAAGTCTGGAAATACACTGACATAGTTGAATAATAAGAGTTTAGTACATGGAAATAACATACCTGAGCCTTCAACGCTACTGTAATCTCATGTACTTCCTGTTATTGTAATTTCTCGGTGAAAAACAAGCCAATCTGAATGAAACACAGGCTTTTAAATTTCACATCAGATCATTAATATGTACACCCCAGGCTGCGTTTGATTGGCCACAACATTTGCGTAGTGAGATATGATTATCTGTTTATTATTTTTAAACTTATCTTAGCTTTTACAAAAAAATATTTTTTAGAAACTATGAATGCCGGACTCTTATTTTAGAATTGAGAGAGTCTTTAGAGAAAGCCATTCTGCGAGCGTGAAACAAGCAGCCAAGCAGCCAATCACAAAAACACGAAATGTGTTCACAGCATGTCAGAATCTGAAACGTGTATATTGTGAAATTTGCCACATGTCTTTGTAATGAGGCAACACTACAGATATATGTATGTTTGTAACAAGGCAACAAACACATGTAAACTGCTGAGTATAAGTGTTTAATTCATGTTTATGCGTTGTGTCATATCACTTAGCTCTTTCTGTGTTTTTTTTCTGGAGTCAAAGATCAGCAATAAACTACAAAAAATCATCTGTTTATGCAAAGGTTGACATTAACACTTGCCAATATGCTTTAAAGATTCAAAATATAACACAAAATGAATTTCTTTCAGCTTTTTTTATTGAGTAAACCATCATTTAGCATATCCACAGCACAACTCGGTAGCAAACAAAGTTTTCTCTGGTGGCTTAAAGATACCTCGCTCCTTCTCCTTCTAGCTAAAATAAATCTCTCTACCACTTCCGCTGAAAAGATGAATAAGACAATATTTTTTAAAAACTGAGGTATGATTACTTTGCATGTGTGTATTTCAGAGCTGTGTGTGAGCTTTAGACATTAATATTCATTCCCGTTCATATGGTCAAATTTGAGTTTTTCTTTCTGGAAGTAATTTGGGTGGGTATAAATAAGCATATAAGCCATTGCTGGAGAATTTTCAAATTAAGCAATCAATAAACTTGCCTCGTACATGCACTGTATTTCATTTATATTAAAAATATAAATAAAATCGATTTATTTTAATGCAGGTGAGAAGATGACAGAGGAAGAGGTGGAGACGCTCTTAGCAGGACACGAGGACGCTAACGGTTGCATCAATTATGAAGGTACAATAACACACAAGGTCTTTTTCTTCACTGAAGATCAAGACCACAGTTGTAGTGTCTGCGTTTAATCCATATGCCTTTCCTTCCGACAGCATTTGTGCGCCACATTATGGCTGGTTGAGGAGAGGGTACGAATAGTCCTCAGTTTGTTTTTATACATTCTTCTCTCCTGCAGCTCCCTCTCTACCGCGTCCCCTGGCTGTAGCCTAGCATGTAGCATTTCTGCATGTGCCTAGGTGTCTCCTGACTACTATTGCCTTTATTGAGGCTGTGCCGGCACTAACACTAGTGTAAAGCTCAGTCATGCCCAAACCAGTAACACCCCTTGAACTTTAATCAGTGAAGCTAATTACTTCTAGCATATTTAAAGTCTAAAATGGAACTAGGAAAGTGGATTCAGATGGTCCTTTCTAGAAACTCTTACAATACGCTCTTCTGTTACTTTAGGAAGCTTTGTAGGGAGGTGTATTGTTGATTCTAGTTTGCAGTCCTGTCACATTGCTGTTCCTGCTTTGTCTCTTTTCTGTACTTGTGTATTTAACTGTTCTCTCTACATGCCTTTATAAGGTATGCTAACTCATTTCTTTTAGGCCTGGACAATGTCTCTTCCTCCCCTTTCAAATCATCCAGGGGCTTTTGCATTACACCTCCTTTTAATGCAGGGAAATGTAGTTTGTCTGAACTACACCTACAGTCTATTTTTGCGCGTGATCTGATCTGTGACTGTTTATAAGTTTAAGTATGTTGATATTCATGGCTACATTTGGTCACCTTGGGATTATGAGGTTCTATCTTACTTTTTTTTATTTTGTCAACTTTGACGTTACACATTCCCACTCTGGTAAATTTTATTTACATTATGTATTTGTTTTTGATAAGTTGTGAATAGTTTTGAGATTCTTATATAGAAAGCAAAAAAGGTACTTTCTATAAAGTCAAACTGTTTTGCGTTTTGGTCACATATGCACTGAGATTTTATCTATGCAACCTCAAGATATGTTTGGGAGCATTTGTACGTGTGAATAATTGTTGCCGTGCGACCAGTTTTTAATGCAAAATGTTCACCGGATGAGCAGACTTAGGAGACAATCACGCAGAATGCATCTTTGCACCTAAAAATGTGAAATGCAGCACTCAGGAATAGTTTAAAACAGTCATCCCGTCAACGTTCAACAGTAAACAAATCCTGCAGTGCAGTGCTTCAAGCTCTTCTGATTGGCGCACTGTTCTAGAACTGAACGCGAATGGATTGGTTAATATCAGCTGTCAATTATTCAGTCAATGCTTTCTGTCTTCAGGTGACGGGGGTACAGCCACGAAAATGTAATGCATTGTAGATGAGGGGAAAAAAAGCACAGATTTTGTTTTAAAAACTACTTAAAGTTACAAATAATGACACAGCTGATTAATGATACACTCTTCGAAAAGTGAATAAGACTCTTAAAGCCATTCACTTTAAAGTCTGTGTGATGGAGTTTTTAGATAACAGTGTCACTGAATCTACAAATTTTAAGTGCGAGAGGTTCTATATAATCGTTCATTTAAAGGCCAGGATGATTTCAAATGCAATAAATCTGTTAATATAAAACTTGTAGTAACAGTGCACATAAATCTTGGTGGGTGTGACTAAATTTGGCTGGTGCGACCACATTTTTAAAGTTAGGAGCACCAGTGCTACTAAGCAAAAAAGTTGATTTTGAGCCCTGATGAGTGATGTTCGGTTAAGTTTATTGAATAAAGGTATTAAAAATGAAAAAAAAAAAAAAAAAAAAAAACATTTTCACACAAGGTGCACTAAAATATGCATCACATATGCAAATATAGTTTTAATAAAAATAATAGTGTGAATTGCTTTTTTTTTTCAAATATTTCCCAAAATTATGTTTATGGAGCAAGGAATTTTTCACAGTATTTACTATAATATTTTTTCTTCTGGAGAAAGTCTTATTTGTTTTATTTCAGCTATAATAAAAGCCAAAAAAATTTAAAAAACTTGCAGAAAATATTGATTTTAAGGTCAATATTATTAGCACTCTTATGCAATTTTTTTATCGTCTTGTCTACAGAACAAACCATCTTTATACAATGACTTGCTTAATTACACTAACCTGCCTAATTAATCTAGTTAAGCCTTTAGATTGCACTTTAAGCTGAATACTAGTAATAGTATCTTGAAAAATATCAAGTAAAATATAACATGCTGTCATAATTTGTTTTGAATCAGTAATGCAATACCTAGTTCACCCACTGGGTGTCAAACTTCAGTACTGCACCTTTAACTAATGCTTCAATTAATATTTTGTAAGATAATACATCATTATTCCAAGCAGAATGTGCTAATTATTATTATTATTATTATTACTATTATTATTTGACAAGTTCCAAAAATCCCCATTTACAAATTTGAGAGGGTTTTTTAAAGACTCTGGACCAAAAAATATGTTACACATGTAAATTAGTAGGAATAGCCAAAAATACATTGTATAAGGGAAAATGATTAATTCTTCTGTTATGCTTAAATTTATTAGAATATAAAGTAAAGGTTTTGTGAGTGCCTTACTGTGATGTATATCAAACAATTTGATAACTTTTCATTACTAATATGTATTGTTTAAAAGTTAATTTGGACAACTTTAAAGGGGCTTTTTAATCAATATTTAGATTTTTTTTTTTTTTTTGTTAACCCTCAGATTCCAGATTTTCAAATGGTTGTATTCGGCCAAATAGTGTCCTATCCTATCAAACATAATATTAGTGAAAAGCAAGATTTGTTCCTAATATAATTTTTGTGCAAAATCTCAATATGTAAAACAGCTTAGAATGCAGGCAGAAGCTTATAATTCCAAGGGGCCAGTTTGTTGATATAACAGGTTGAATTTTCTTGGATTACTGTCTCACTAATTCTTTTTTTATTTCTCTTCTACAGAACTCGTAAGGATGGTCATGAGCGGTTGAAGAATTCAGACACATTGATTTTTGTCCGTTATTTTCCCCCATTCATGTGATTCTTCATTTCCATATTTGCTTTTTTAATTATTTGTTCTTTATTTTTTCCTTAAGTGCCTTTTATCGTGTTTCTGGAGAATTATGGCTCATTTCATTTCAAAAACGTCAGTTGATCTCCAATTGGGTTTGCTCGAATACCTTCCATTCAGCCATTGCATTCATTCCACCAATCGCTGTACTCGTCCATTATTTGTCTTAAACTGTGAGGGCCCTTTTGATCGTCTCCTAATGTATTTTTCTTTTTAAATGATCATATTGTCTAATTGTTTGTGTCATTTGACATCCCTCTTTATTGTCCGCTGTTCATCATAATAAATATTCAGATTGAAGTTTGATTTGGTTGATTTCTCAGAGCTGTGGGTGTATAGTGTGTGTGGGTTGCCTTGTAGGGCATTGTTGCAGCACTTCCATTTTAGTATTTGACTTAAGGAACACTGTTTTCTTTCTCTCAGTAAACATTATACAAGACAATACCAAATTAGGAGTATGTTTGGGATTTGAATCTGGACGGGGAACGTATTACTGCAGTGCCTACATGTTTTAAAGGGCTTGTGTTTACCTAAAGAGACAAGATAACTTGGCATACTAAATTAAACCTAAAGGACAGCCTAAACTATGATGGTATGTATTAAATAAATTAAACGCAATGAGTTCTTCAGCTGCAATATACAACCTGTTGAGGCTGGGTGTTTTTGTTTTTGCGGTAAAAGAAGTGTTCACGACATATTGAAATTAGCGGACTTGTGATTCAGCTGGATAGATATCTGCTTCCCACTGGTTAATACTCTTAACGTCCTTGAAAAACATGTAAGCTCTCTTTTTTCTAGAGACTTTTCTTTCTCTCAGTATACAAGACAATACCAAATTAGGAGAAGCCTATGATTGGGATTTGAATCTGGACGGGCAATATATCAGTGCCTACATGTTTTAATGGGGCTTGTGTTTACCTGAAAAGACCAGATAACTCAGGCTACTAAACTAAAACTAATGAACAGTTTAAACTATGATGGTATGTATTATATAAATGAAACGCAATGAGTTCTTCAGCTGCAATGTACAAACGGTTGAGGCTGGGTGTTTTTGCCATATAGACATTAGCAGACTTAGCGTGATTCAGCTGGATATATCTCTTAATACCGCTGCTATTACTCTTCACATCTTCGAAAAAACTTAAAATAACCAATGTACCCACTGGTCATCCCAGATTCCATTTTACGTTGATATTTTCAATAAAAACTCACACAAGCAAACACACGAGTCTGAGGATGTAAGCGGCTACTTAGAGCGTCATGTGTCATTTCGATTATTTATTTATTTTTTGATATATTGCAGTGTTTGTCATATTTTACTGGGCATATTGTCATTATTTTTATAAATTCATGTGCCCAATCACAGCAAGCATGATAAAGGCTTTAGAATTTACTTTAATAACACAATAATACCAGCCTGATCTCACAAGAAAACTGAAGTGTTTGACATTTTGTCAGTTAAGTGGTTAATTCGTAAGAATTAAGTTTTACGAAAATGTATGATTTTAAAATGGAGGCGTGACACCCAATCATGCCCCTAAACCCAACCGTCATAAATTGTATGAATTAGATTGTATGAATTCATATGAATTAGCCACTAAATCAAAATTTACGAATTGCAGTGAGATTGCGTTGATAATACTGTACTTATTGTAAGCCTTTTGCCTATTATACCTTTGCCTTACTATTACATATGATTACTCTTAAAAAAAAAAAGTCCCAATGTTTCTTTTATTTGATTATGTACATTTGAACAACATAAATATTCAGCTTTACTACGTGTTTGCTGCAGTTTTTGTCATCCAACAGGGGGAAAAATGTTAGTTATCCAAAAGATATCCTTTCTTTGCATTATGATAGTTATATTTTTTTGTATATGATAGTTGCTTAATGTTAGCTTCCTTCATAATTTCAAAAAGGACTTATTTAAAACATATATCCTTTACACAGCTTGTATCACCGATGATGCCTTTATTGTGCAGAACTGTTCAGTGTTTTTTAAACCAAACTTAGTCAAAACTGGGCATCTCAAGCTGCATTTCCTCAAAGGATGAACCAAACGCTGTTGAACATTTACACACATCTCAATGCAATGGTTATCAGCTTTCACCATAAAAAACGAACAAAAAAACCTATAGCCTACCACTACGATGTAAAAGTCCAAAGAGCTGAGCGGTCTGGACGGGGAATAACACTGCCTACTGTATATGTAATAATGGAATTGTGTATAACGTTACCTGAAGAGATTGTACTATGAAACTTAACTTGAAGGACAGGTTAAACTTTGATGGTATGCATTATATAAACCAAACGTCATTAAGTTCATCAGTTGCAATGAATCGTTGAAGCTGTGTTTGTGTTTTCGCGGTAAAAGATGGGGTCACGCCCATAGACTGTAAAATATAGGTCACGCCATATTGAAATTAGCGGACAGCCTACCGTGATTCAGCCGGTAAAATCTCTTCACGTCCTCGAAGAACTTGTAAACTGATTTTTCGAATTTCGAGAGGCTTTGCGTCAATTGACCGGTGTACCCACCGTCCCAGGTACATTTTCTGTTGATATTTTCACGAACACAATATTTCGAGGCTGAAGATGTAAAACTGCTACTTAGACGGTCACGTGACGGGTCATCTCGAATTTGTTTCGTTTTGCAATATCTATGTTGCAATAATGCAGTGTTTGTCATAATTTAACCGGGCATACATACATGTGTATATATATATATATATATATATATATATATATATATGTATATGTATATATATATATATATATATATATATATATATATATATATATATATAAAATTATTTTTTCTTTTTTTTTTATTTAAGTGCCCAATCATAGCAAGCATGATAATGGTATAATTAATTACAGTTGACCTTTACAAAACACACTAATACTGTAATTATTGTAAGTGTAGTTCTTTTGCCTAATTAGAATTTACTTTTTAAAAATATCTGTCAATGTTTTTTTTTTTTTTTGATTAAAATGATATATTTGAGCATCTCTGTTCAGTGGTGTGTTGTAGTAATATTTAGCTTATTATAAGTGTTTGCTGCAGTTTTTGTCACCCATCATCTGGGAAAATTATCCCAACAATATCCTATAGTGTCATAATTATTTTATCTTTAAATCCCTGCTTAAAATGTTGGCTTTCTCTATAATTTAAAATATTTAAGACGTATATAAAATGTATATTCTTCACACAGCTTGTATCACTGATGATGCCTTTTATTGTGCAGAACCGTTCAGTATTTTTGAAACCAAAAATGAATCCATTCTTAGTGAAAACAGGTGCTGGACAGCTCCTGCTACATCTCTTCAAAGGATGAACCAAACGCCGCCAAACATTCACACACATCTCAATGCAATGGTTACCAGCTTTCACCATAAAAAAGTATAAACAAAATGTAAAAAAAAAATCAAAAACAACAACTATACCACTACAATGTAAAAGACCAAAGAGCTGAGCAGTTTGATCAAAATTGACATTTTCAACACTGGTTATGAGGCGTGCAAAACTTCTGAGGTCGATACGAATCCGTTCTGTCAGTAATTCTGTATGTTGGACTACTGCATACCTGCGCATTCACATACATGTAAACAACGGGAGTGTATGTATGCGTGTTTGCTGATTCTCATATTGGCAGATTTTTACATCCATCACTACGAGCATTTGTAGTCTGGAAACAAATTAATGTAAATATAACAACGAAAAAACAACAACATACATACAAAATGATAATAAAAAAAAAATCATAGAGTTCATGCACACGCCACACACACACCACACACACACCCACACACACAGTCCAGCTTCATCGTATAAAGAGAATGATACTTTCACATGAACATGTCAATAATACGACAACATCCACAATCAGAAAGAGAAGGAAACATTACAGACATGTATAATATGATAACAGCATTACGTCGTTTCGTAATAGTGTAAAGAAACATATAAAAATACAAAAATAGGACGATTACAATATGAAGATATGAGATACACAGACCACAGCTGCAAACGTAACGTTAAAATCCCTTGTGTTTCTACTCATCAGGTAGTTGCCACTTATTTGTAACAAAACAGACGGTTTTCCTTCATGTCGTAAATACTTTCGGTGGGTTTGGCCTGATACTAAAACACTCACACACACACATACAACACATTCTTTAACAATCTGAACTGAAACATCAGTTCTGGCTTGAATACTGTATACTATAATGTATGATATGAACTTGATAGTAAAACGATTAATGTTAATGCGTTGTGGTCAGAGAAAGGAACCAATATGATTCCCTACAGCATCTCCCAATATATTGTCACTACTATTATTAGATATTTTAATACGCACGGCAATGAGATGAGAATGAATCTACTTTCACCTGTTTGAAACGCGGAGTAACTTACGATATTTTGTGTCAGATGACGTGCACACGTACCCAAAAAATAACATGCAGACATCAATTATTGATGACATGATTTCCAGGTTTTACAGTACATGTTGTCAGAGACGCCTCATACAAAGTAAACAGACTTAATACTAATTTGTCTTTTTGTTTTCTCATGCTAAAATCTAATCGTACGTTTAAAAAAACCAGGCCAAACCACTGAAGCTTTCACATTGTCCCGAAAAGCAAAACCGACATTCACACGCACACATACAAAGTAACGATTACAAAGTCAAGTTTTTTCTTCCCTCCGGACTTACTCCAAATCGAGTGCTTCTATGAATCAAATACAAAGATTGAGTGATTAAAAAGAACACTGATAAAGCGAACTTTAAGTCAGAGCTATGTTGTTTTTCCAAAAAGTAAGATTCGGGAAAAGTGCAATTTGTTCTTGGTTTTCTTTAGCGAGTACCTAAAATACATTGAGATGTTTCTGGAGTGCAGATCACGGGTACTTTGGATCCTGTAGTTAAGGGCTGTTACTGAAAACAGGACGGACAAGGATATATTGAGTCTTGTACTTGGATGCTGTCGGGGTCTGGAGTGCTTTTTGTGGGGTGTTTGAGTTTAAGACCTTTTCGAAAGTCCAAACCAAAGGTCTTTTTTTCAGTTTCAAGGACATGTTTAGCTTTAGCTATTTATTTTTGATGTTCAAGATGCTGACAAGTATTCATTTATATCATTTTCTCCCAAAATGATGAAAGTGACAAAAAAAAAAAGAAGATATCGCTCCCTTTCTCTCTCTTGATCTTTTGCTTTCTAACTCGTCTCCTTCATTTTCTTCTCTGGAATCTTTGATTCACTTTTTAATCTCACCCTCTGCTTTACTGTGATGGAGGCAC